CTTATGTTGGTTTATCAAAAGAAGGACTGTTTTCAGTACATAATAAATGTATCATGCTTGATGGTTTTTTAAAAACTCTGTAGAATTGCTCCTGCACAGGTAGGAATATGCTGATTATACAGGTAGTTTGCAAAGCCCACATGCCTATTCACGAGTTATTACAATTCAATAGTTGTGGTCTGCTGACTTTTGGAGGCCATTTTGGAATTTTAAAACCTTAAGTGGCAAATACTGATACTTCATATATACAATGGTATTTTCTTACCGTTAAATGATATTTTTATGAAAGACTATACAAATAACTTTCACCTTGAAAGGGTATTTTGGGGGCAATATTGAAATTGGCTGCCATATTGGAATTTTCAGACATGCCCCTATATCCAACGTTGCTTAGAATCATGTTCTACATAACTGTGCCAATTTTTATGCTTGTAATTGTAAGTGCTTGATGATTTTACAAAACTGCTGCATATTTTGCGTAAGTAAACTGCTTATTTTACTTTTGGAGGCCATTTTGGAATTGTATACACCTGTAGAAGCGGATATTGATAATTCATTCATAGCATGATATTTTCCAGCTATAAAATGATATTTTAAACCATTTTGGGACTATATATTAAATTTTTTTATTTAAAAGAGTATTTGTGGCGGCCATATTGGATTTGGCGGCCATACTGGAATTTTCAGACATGCCCATATATCCAAAAAAGCTTAGAATTCCATTATCTACAACTGTGGCAAATTTCATGCTTGTAGGTAAAAAACGCACAATTCACCATTTTTTCTGCACCAATTTCTTGGACTATATGACCCTAGCTGTCCAATACCTGTGATAGTCCACAGTATAGGTCACCCTGCTGGGGGTCAGTGAGTGACCATTGGCCAGTGCCACTCTCAGGGACCCCCCACTGTTCTGCTGCTGGACAAGTCTCTCGGCCATGGAGACTAAGTTTACTGTGCTTCTCTCTGCCTTGTAGAATGTGAATGTTATGGTGTCCTAGGAGAACAGAGATGAAAGCTTTTAAGTTACACCATGGCATAATATTGCAAAAAAATATATATAATTATTTTCCTGAAAATTTTACCATTTCATCTTCATCACTAAGGAATACTATATCCAACTTTCTTGAGAACAGAGAGGTGAGAGCCTTAATGTTACAGTAATGTTACAGAGCAAAAAGTGTAATTTTCAACTCACATCTCTTTATCACCATGGTAAACCTAACCATTAAAATTATTCATCATTCCAGGAGAAACCGTTTTCAGTTTCAGTTTTGAGCCCCTCTTGTTACAAGAAATGGTGATAAGTGAATTTCACAAGGTAAAAATCTAACAACAGTAGTTTGAAAAAGGTCAGGAAGATTGCACTTGTTTTGATTCCTTCAGCTTCATTAAAGCCTTCGGCTACAAACGCAGAAGCTTTTTTTTTGGATAAATTTCAATACTGAACATCTGAGAGCTGTAGAAGACTCACCCCTTGTATGTCCGTGACAGTAAACGTTGACATCACTTCTGCTGGCAACTCAGAGCTGAAGAAAGTCTTCAGTCCCTGAATAATTTCAGTGTGAAATGATAAGATGTCTTCTCCTTGGAACTCCATTGTCATAAGTACACTGGAATATATACAGAGAGGATATTAATCTATTGAATTTTGACTTGTATGTCATAGGTGGACCAACCTTGACTTTTAAGTCTTAAAAGATACAATGAAATTTGAGATTGCTTATATCTAATAATTTGTTTAAATTATTCAAATATATAACCATCTTTACAAAATTAACTTAATTGCTCAAAGCATATCTACTACTTTTAATAATTAATTAAAAAATATTTCAGAAGCTTAAAGCCATTTTTGATATGACATTCTTATCCCCTGTGCTGAAAGTGTGTGTAAATGTTAAAGATTTATTTACTCGGTGAAGTCATCTTTGTTCCTTGTTGGAATGTCAGTTTTGCCGTCAGGTCCCACATAGAACCGGCCGGCTACAGAGAACATGGCATCCAGCACGGTCTTGTTGTACGGAGAGAGATCAGACACCTGCATACTTCCCTGGAGGACAAACCTCACACCTTCCTGAAGATGATATACAAATACATGTGAATTTATAACATGAGCTTAGGCCTTAGTATAGCAGTTTCTGTCAGTAACAACTAAACCTTATTTGAAATTCCAGCAAATACATGTATATCTAAAATATTTGTCTACTAAAAGCTTTGGAATTTCCAAAATTGTTGAGAAAATTATTAACTTTAAATTCTCTGATTTATAAGTTTCTAATTATTTGCCTATTTCATAATGGAGATGGAAACTGATGATGAAATTTTGGAGTGAAGAAATATTCTCTATGTACAGGTCAAACATGCTGTATATACCTGTCATAGAAAAGCAGTCAACAAGATTTCATCTTTCAGATATATTTATAAATTTTACATCCTCCATGCATTTCTCATCATGCTAGTTGAGAAGCATATGTTTGGCAACACTAGTAAATTACATCTTAATGTTAATCATACTCATGGACAGATCCAGAGACCTCAACCCCCCACCCCCACCCCACCTCCAACACCTCTTTGAAGCAGAGGAAAAGTTTTGCAACCAAAACTATGTAAAATACAACATAATACATTTGTTTTTGGTACTTACTTCATTCACTGTCACCTCTGGAATGTTCTTATCTGTAAGAGCTGGGTGGAAACATCTAACAAGATCTGCTCTAAAATTTCTTTCCACTTCTCTGATCTCTGCTGCATTGAACTTCATTGTCCTGTTACAGGGGATGAAGGCCTGGTATGGCAACCTGGAGGTTTTAAAGATTTTTAAAAAGTTGTTTTCATAATTACAGCAATCTTATGGCACCCACTTATACAAAAAGGTAACAAAAAGTCCCTTGTGCATGATCAGGTATTGTGATATCCACCCACACCCCCTACCACCCACACCCCTCCCTAACTCTCACCTCTCTGTCAGGTAACAGTTATCTCCACAGTAAGGTCCTTCACCTACAGTGCACCACCCACATCCTGGCATACTTCCTACCCCACACACCCTACTACACCCAACCCTCCCTAACTCTCACCTCTCTGTCAGATAACAGTTATCACCACAGTAAGGTCCTTCACCAACAGTGCACCACCCACATCCTGGCTTAGACACACATGTAGCATGCTGAGTGCTGAAAATGAAAAGATAACTCATTTGAAATTAGTCATACATATATACTGAATGTGTTTGCTGTGACAATGTTCTAGTCTTGAACATTTTTAATGTGACAATGTTTTATACAGAAATATGTAAGGTGTGACAATGGTTTACACAGAATGTGTTAGGTGAGACATGTTTTAGAAAATGTGTTAATTGAGACAGCCTCACCTAGTGCTGCACTCCTGGTCACACATAGACTCAAATGAAAATGTCTTAGTCTTCCCTATGACCTTGACCTCATTTCCAGCCACTATGGCCTTGACTTTGCCACTGTCTATAGCCCTGAAAAAAGCCTCTGCTTCCGACTTCAAATTTATACTTGTAAGGTTCTTCGGCTTACTGAGAGCAAAAGTAAGGTTATTCTGAAAAATGAAATAGTTTACAGCTTGTATGCAAGTGCTTTCTAAAGTGGATCCATCAGATTTACAGAACTATTAGCAATCTTTTAGGAGACTTACTTAATAATAATGTGATGCATATGGCTAAAAAATAACAAAACTGCACATTTAATGTAAAATGAATGTATAATATAATAAATTGTATAATGATGGTGGTAGCAGACAGAGAGTCACCAAATTATGCATATTTGGAAGCAATGCCTCAACAAATCTTAAATTAATAAAATGAACCAGTTGCAACAATGGTTATTGCAACTTACAAATAAATTTATAAAATCCTTCAAAAGTTTTACTCCAAAATCCAGTTTCTAACGTTTCTTAATACCAAGATTTCTGGATATTACAAAAATTAATTGAAATTGAAATTCATCCATGGCAAAGATTAACAAAAATCTAGAGCCTGTACTAAAGTTTCTTGCCATGTTCCAAGCAGATGCAAAAAATTCTGAAACCTTCCAAAGTTTTACAGAAGTCCCAAGCCCAAACTAGGATGTCTTACCCCATGTAGACTCAGATGTCCCAGTGACCTGACAACCGCGGCACTGAAATAGGATGTCAACTGTTTCTCTAGCTCTGCCATTATGTCCTTCCTCAGACTGTGAGAGCGGGCTAACAGCTGGTCAAAATCCACACCATTTAATATAAGAGTGAAAACAGCACTGGAACAGAGAAATAGAGTGATGCAGGTTTAAAATCTAATTACAGTGTTTCATAAAATTATAAAAATATTATATTTATTAACTACATACTCAGTATTTTTTGTGCTTGGAAAAATTAAATATGATTTTTTTTCTCAGTTTGCTGATTGCAAAGAAGTCCGCTTGAAAGTCCGCATATCACATGGATATGATTGGACTGATTTAATTAAAAATAGAATCGTCATAAGCAAAAAAAAAAAAAATGAAAAAAAGCACTGTCATTTCCTTCTAATCAAAAACAGCTAGGAAAAGTGGTGAAGATTCTGTCAATTCTGACAAAAAATAAAATTTTACTCTGTCTGATACACGAAAATGTGATTCTGATCTCACTTGGTGTAATCATCAGCAGCCGACACTGTGAAAGCACCAGGTTCTTGCTTGGTGCCAAGTTTGAAGTTAGTCATGGCCAGAAGGTTCTGGATCTTCTGTCTGGCATCTGCTATTGATAGCCCCTTCAGTGCTGCTTGAATGGCAAAGTGGATGGTTTGCTGTGTACAGTAAAAATAGTTTCATATCATGTTCTATTAGCATTACAGCAACTTTTTCACCAAATGATAATAAAACAGATAGAAAATATCAAATATTTTCTCTTTCTAAGGTAAATTTCATCTATTATTGAATTAAATCCATTCGTGGTCATGTATTACTACTGGTATAATACTAAAACAATAACAATGTAGCAACTCATTAGGAGTTCAGTGATGCTGGTGAGGCTATCAGAATATAAAGAAATGCCCATTACCCCCTGGAGAGTAAGGTTCTGAATGCCTTTCTCAGTGACCGGTGCAATAGCCAGAATTTTTGATCGAAAATCTTGCAGCAGTTCCTGCTCATCTGCAGGTGTCAGTGTGTCTGGTAGGCATGGCAGGAACACACTTATGTCAGAGAACCTGTGATTGGTCAAAAATAAACCAACTAAAATTGATGATTTAAACTTTTTCACACAACTATAAATAATATATCTGGGCAGTGATAAATATTTTTTTTGCAATTCACCAGAAATGCAATTTTTCTTAGCAAATTATAAAATTTTAAATCATGGCAATTACATACACCAATGTTTTCACACTGCCACTTGTCCTACCTCTCTTGCAGAAGGCAGTCGTCACCACAGTATGGCTGGTTGTCAAGGTAACACCAGTGACAGTGAGGCCGGCCATCACAGATCATCTCTGTTGTTCTACAAAATAAATTAAGATACCATTATAATTAGTTTCTCTTTCAATGACAGGTGATTTAGAAAATGCAGATTTTTAATTATCAGGACTGAGGGTTCGGAAACAGAATATAAAACAGACATCTGATGCAATATTTGAAAAAGATACATAAAATGATTTAAATTTATGTAACATTATCCCAAACCAGTCTGACCTAGAAGCCTACTTTCATAACTTTATCACACCTATTTCAATGTTCACAGGAAATTAAAACAAAATTCAACCCACCCATTTTGGGGGGAGCATGGTTGAGGACACAGATCCTCAAAGCTTCCCTCCACCACCACATCTTCAGCCTGAAGGGTCAGTCCACTGACCTTGACATTGACCACTCCTTGGTCTACAACTGCCTTCAGTTTGGCCGCCTCAGAACTCAACAAGTTAGCTTGACCAGTTGTGGTCTTGTTCACTGAGAATGAGATGTAGTTCTGGAATGTGGAATGATATTATAAAGAGTTGGACTACAGAAAAAAGTGTGACAGAATATTGTGTTAGATGAGACAGTATACTGAGGTTAATTTAACAGAAGATGTGGCAGTATATTGTGTTGGATGTGACAGTATATTGTGTTAGATGTCACAGTATATTGTGTTAGATGTGACAGTATATTGTGTTAGATGTAACATAATATTGTGTTGGATGTTACAGTATACTGTGTTGGATGTGACAGTGTATTGTGTTGGATGTGACAGAAGTAATAAGACTCACAAACTCACCCCTCTGATCCACACATCATCCACTGTCTGTGCGACCTCCTGAGCCATATGAGAGCTGACCAATGTGTAAAGCTCTTGCTTCAGTTGGTCCCTCAGGGATAGTGACCTCATCAACTGGCTGTCAAAGTCCACCCCCTTGAACAGCACTTTCACCTTCATACTGGAATATAGAAAGGCAGAAAAAATCCTTCCTAAAGAAATAATACCAACATTTTTCAATTTCAAACTTCTACATGGGAATAGCCCCATGTTATGCCATCCCCCCTGATTTTGACTTATCCTGCAACAAATTAGGAACCAAGCATTAACAAGAAGAAGAAACAACGGACCACTGGCACATACTTGGTGTAGTCTCCAGCCTCCCGTGTCCTGTACTGGCTGGGACTGGAGTCAGGACCTATCCTGAAATCCTGGGACCACGCCAGCAAGTTCTCAAGATGGCGGTAAGTCTGGTTCAGGGGCGGATCGTTCATCACAGCAGCTAGGGTGAAGGAGAGGGTGTCCTAAAAAAAGGATAAAAATAATAAGAAATAAAAAAGCATAATTTATGCATCACAAAAACAACACTTAAAGGAAGAATGAGTAAAGGGTGTTCAAAAAACCAAAAAAGAAATCATACAATTGAAATTATAATACAAATGCATAAAATTGATTATGTATTTGTAAAAAAGTGTCTTGGCTACATGTTCATCTGCCAATGAAATATTGAAATCTGGACACCCATGAAAGATAAAACCTAAGTCTAAGGAACCTGACCTTGGTAAATGTAAAGTTCCGTAAAGCTTTTATTGATAATCCAATGGTGGAAGACCGTATTTTGTTCTCAAAGTTCTTCAACATTTGACTCTCCTCCTCAGTGGTCAGTTTGTCCAGGCAGGGGACAGAGGTGGACACTACTATCCTGGATTATAATAATAATAATAATAATAATAATAATAATAATAATAATAATAATAATAATAATAATAATAATCGAAAAATACTTTATAAAAATGGTTCAGGTAAATATGAAACAAAATATTATTGTTATGTAAAGTACAAGGTGGAGCAATTTGTGTCATACATGAAGGGTTGTTTTACTTAGCCTATGGATTTTTAAAAAATTGAAAAGATGTCAAACCCACTGACAAAATGACTGTTTGACAAAACTGTAGTTATTTTACATCTTTGAATATGAAGACATACAAATGGTTAACAATGAACATCAAAGTAAAAGGTGTGTCACAATGAAAAATGTTGTGCAAAAAGCCTTCTACATTATAAGTGCTTCATTCAAGTATTTGTATGGTTAAAGGAGCCTCGTGTTGATCACTGTCACAGCACTGATGCGTCATATATGATATAATTCCCGGGTAACAATTACCTTTCTGGCAGCAGACAGCTGTTAGAGCAGGCTAAGACAAGACCAATACTACACCAAGCACACCCTGTTACTGCATCACATGACAACTGGTCTTTTCTGGAATACAGAGGGCAGCATTATACAGATATGTGATTGTGTAACTGGCTAGATACAGTACACCCCTGATGGTTGAAACACACATTTTCATTCACAAATTGAAATCAACTGCCTGGTAAACATAACCAGGAACATACTTTATTATACATGTACATATACACAAAAAATTACACACATGAGAGAGGGAGTGAGAGAGAGAGAGAAAATGCTGAAGCAGAGGGAGAGAGAGCGTAAAGAGAGAGAGAAAGCTTAAAGAGAGAGGGGGGAAGGGATATTACATTTTATACCTCTCAGAGCATGTTATTGGACAGATATCCTGGTTAGAGCCAGTCACACTAACTCCTGTAGGCACCCTGTTTACCCCCTCTATTGTGACATGGATGCTTCCAACTCCTACTTCAGCTTCCAATCTCTTGGCATGGTCCATTAAGTCCAGAGGGGAACCAGGTGGTTTGGTGATAGCAAAGCTGATGTGGCGCTGTAATGTGATTAATTGGTTCCATTGTTTTGTTCCACTTTTTTGGGAGGAAATATACTAAGCCACATTTTAACCCAACATAAGTCACTGACAGTTTTTGTATCAAAAATTGTCCAAAAAGAATGAATTAACCAGATTTGAACTTCATTAGCAACATACAACTTGTATCCACAAGTGCACAAGAAATCAAACATTTTTAATTTTATCTTAGATACTTGGTTCCATATTGTCTTATAATAACACTGTATTGTATTTTCCCTACAGCTGTGTATGTATCTCAGTGCTTGTGATGTAACATACAAAACAGGATATTACGCTCTTTATTTTCTTTAGATTTTCTACATAAAAATTTAATTCACTTTTAATTTTTGATGTCACAAACCTGATCAATTCTTATATCTTGGACTCTGTTGGCTATAGTCTTGTTCAGAACCATGTCTACTATGGTGTGTACTGACTGCTCAACCTCCTGACGCGCTGTCAGTGGATTCTTCTTCAAGACATTCACCAGGTCAGCATTTTTAAAGGAAAATTTCACATGGACCCTGCAACATTAGGGTTGAGAGTATCTAATGATCTCAAGTGACATTGCTAATTCCAAACACCATTTCATTTCAGTTGGTGTGGCTCTCTATGGTTTGACCATCACATTGCTTAAAGGTCAAGCTGAAGGTCACATATGCCATACATTGCCATATGCCAATAATATAAAATACATTACATTTTCTATTAACAGATAATAAACATTAAAATGTATAAACCATGCAGAGAAATGTGGACATTTAGGCACTTTCTTTACACTCACACTTACATGGTGAAGCCATCACTGGTGGTAGCTGTGTATTTGTTGGGGTCAGAATTTGGGCCAACAGCAAAGTTGCTCTGCAGCCCCCTCTGGAGGATGCCCAAACTCTCCACAACTGGTGGGTCTTGCATCGTGCCCTGAAGGATGAAGCTGAGGCTTCTCGGCTGGAAAATTATTAATAACATACAAAGTATTCAATTATTTCAATGTCAAGCTATGATAATATAGTGATAAAGGACAGTCCCATTTTATTATGAAAAACATTATGCATTTCACAGTTCAATGACCAAATTATCACACTTGACTATCTCTAACTTAACAACTATACTAGTATATGTCAGTTCCAAAGACACCAACGAGATTAACAACAGTCAAACTATCCAATCTAACCCCCCCCACTTCCTTCCCCCATGTATACACTAAGAATATCTGACATTTACCAAATTGAACATGAAGGAGTGAATGGCTTTTGAGGAGACATTGGGCAACAAGGCACGGATGGATGCCTGGAAGTTTTCCCGTATTTCCTCAGCTTCCTTCAAAGAAAGGGATCCCAAATCCATGCATGGGAAAAACACTGTGACATTTTTTCTGAAATAATTCAAATTTAAATATCAGATCTGTACCAATTAACACATAATAAGTGTATAATAGGGGTATGCACTGGCCCGTCACAGCTTGCATGTGTAAACTAACCATAAACAAGATAGCCACATCAAAATAACTTCTGATCAGACAGTATAGTAAATGTACCATCGACTTGACTGGTTATGCCTTCAAATTGTGTTGGGTATTATTAAATCTTGTTGTCTGATAAAACATTTGTGTTAGATGTTACAGCTGTGTTAAATGTGTTAGATGAGATAACTGATTGTGTTAATTGTGACAGCTAATTGTGCTACACATGTCAGCTGATGGTTACATCAAAGTTGTGACAACTGATTACTAGTTGTGATGGTTGTGTTGGATGAGACAGCTAATTGCGTAAGATGAGACAGTGGATTGTGTGCTGCACATTTCATCACCTCTCCACCAAGTAACTATTGTTGGAGCAGATAGGTGGAACATCATAGTCTCCCCAGTCACAACCAGGAATCTGGTCACAGCTGCTGCTATTGCCACTACAACAGAAATAGACCAGATATTAAATGTAGGGTTAACACAAAACTACTTGTTAACAGTAACAACTTCATCTTTTCATTGGAGATAAATGAATGTGCAGTTTTTAGAGGCATAATTTTAGGATCCATTAAAATATGTATCTGTGTAGAATTTGTGGTTTTTCTGTACAGAATAGAACAACATTAAGGTAGCCTGCTTTTCAGGTTTGTAGCTGCCACTAAATAGGAATATTTTAATTTTTAGGAATTATGAGTTTAAAAATACAATATTCATACCATGTAAAAACACAAAACAAAGTGATCCAAGCACTACTGGAACATATTTCAGTGCATGCACTCACCCCTCTGAGCAATCTTTGGGACATAGTTCATGGAAGGAACCAAACCACTCGACCTTGGGTGGGACAAATTTTTTGGCTTCGATCACTCTCAGAACCTCTGCCTGGATTGCAGCTCTAACATTGTCTACTAGATGGAGCAGTGACACAGGACTGTCCACAGGCTTACTGAAGGTGAAAGGTATGTAGTCCTGGGGAGAAAAAAATGTTTGTGTGAATTACATTAAAAATGTTTCGTATAAGTCTATGATGAATTCCTCTGGCTAAAAAGGTCTTAGTAATACCCTTATGCAGGGGCAGATAAAGGCCGTCTTCTGGGTCATCTGGAAGGCAGTCAGAATTTTTTCAATTTAACACTGATGGGCATCTAATTTACCTGTTGGAAGACAGTCAAAAATGGAGGATGGATCATTAGAGATAATTTGCAAGACTGCCAAAAAATATTTCTGGATCTGCCCCTGCTAATGCTACTAAGACTTAAGTGAGTTTCACAAAGAGTCCAGAAGACCGCTACATCAATTTTCTGTCTTTAACTAAGCTCCATGAGCAAATTGTCAGTGCTGGTATTGACAAAGTTTTTTACTCTCCAAGATGGCAGTGTTACATTTAGGCATGCTAATTTGAAATACATTTACTTTTTATAATCCAGAAATTTCATCGATTTTTATTGCATTTTAATTACAATGGCCAGAAAACCCAAAATGTTTTAAAATGTTTTTAAATAAATAAATAAATTACAAAATCTGCTGCACAGTGAACTTTCTGGGAGTTTCACAAAACCATTTTTAACTTAAAGATCACACACATGTTTAAATGCTACAGCCAAAAAAATGGTTCACTTTTTTCTAAATCCTCGACAGTGTCTGAACATAAAATGATATAATCACACATACCCTTTTCAATACTTAATAACAACATAACACACATAATAAACATGATATAAACAGAGACAGATCAATACCTTCTCCATCCAGAAATTGTCCAGGGTAGCGGTCACATCTGGGTTTGAAATGGCGACTGACAGGGAGCGACGTATTTCTGACGTAAATTGCTGTCTGGCTGTGAGAGACTGCCCAAATTCATTATCAAAGTTAGTACCATTATAGACCAGCTTCATACGAATGCTGGAGGAAAAAGAAAACAATTGAAAAATGTAATCAACTTTATCTACCAGAACAGCTTCATACAAATGCCAGATGAAAAACATAACACATCATACACAATTTTACTTGTATTAAAACTATCATTTAAAACAGTCAAATTTACCTGATTATTTGATAGTCTAAAATTGCATTTTGTCTCACTCTATATAGCCATATTAATACCTAAGATAGTCTGAGACAGGCACAAACATCTCTATGTAATTAAACAAAAAAACACTAAAACATGTACATAAATCAATGTAATTATGACTTACTTGGTAAAATCTTCTGGGTTTCTTGCCCTGTACTTGGCCCTGTTTGTGTCTGGCCCCACTGTGAACCCCCTCTGCCAGTGAAACAGCTCCTCTAGACGGCTGTAGGTCTTGTTCAGAGTGGGGTCCCTCATAGTGCCCTGTAGTGTGAACTGAATGATATCTGCACTGTTCTGAAATATATAATATAATATAATATAATATAATATAATATAATATAATATAATATAATATAATATAATATAATATAATATAATATAATATAATATAATATAATATAATATAATATAATATAATATAATATAATATAATATAATATAATATAATATAATA